TTTAAAATGACGGTACCCTTAGGGTTAGCAAACGATTGGGAGAGACAGCGAACCCTAATTAATAGTAAAAGTGGCAAAATCTGCTGAGTAGGCAGCCTTGGCCCTGGGCTGCTGCCAGCTGGGACGGCTAATTTCTAGATTATTTTTGAAGTTGCAAATTCGGATTTGTTTGCATGGGCGCCCCTCAGCTCAGGCATCTGTTTTGTCTGGAACGTATGAAAGCAACATGAGTGTCTTCTGCGAGGCGCTGGGCAAAACCTTTACGCCTCAATCCTCGTTTGTTCTTCATTTTGAAACGTCTGGAAAGGTGGTCCGATAGGTGATTTTGAGAATCCTTTCACAATTCAAGCGATTGAAGACAAGCCTCCGTGAGCATTTGCAGAAGAAGTTTTGAGGTTGTTAGCGAGGACTTATCTAAAATCTAGAATGACAACGAGAACCAGAAGGCGCAACCATAAGAAGCAGCTGAATTATATCGCACATAGCTATGCAGATTGAACAGTCTATTTGCAGAGCTAGAAACATGCAACGGAGGAGACTGGATTGGTGCACGCAACTGGTGTTCCTCTGTCTAGCTTAAAGTGGGGGTGTGCCCCTATCAGCAGGGCTACTCAGCAGGGCTTTGACATAATACAAAAGCACTCAAATGGTATGATATATATTGGATAATACTTCGGGGCCTATGGGAAGCAACCGCAGTAGCGATGGAGAGATGGTGGTTATGACTCCAAGTGCCACCGTCATGTTGAGCCAGGACCCGTCCACGAGGCTGGCCCTCGAGAAGGCCGAGACAGAGCGGAGGTTGCAGGAAGCGGAGATGAAGCTGGCGGAGGCGGTGGCAGAAATCCAGCGGCAAAAGCACCGCAGCCATGAGGAGGACGGGCACGTGGCTTGCGGAAACATATTCACAGGTGAAACCTTCTTGCATTCTACTTACTTCTTTTTCCCCGCCTCTTGTGCTCAGACAATGCTGAGAGAAGCTCATGGTAGTTGGTAAACATCTGAAGCAGAAGTGGCCACGCTTTATCAAAGTGGGACTTCAGTAGTGAGAGTCCTCTTTTCTTTCGACCTTTTTATCTGGTTGACATCTTATTATTGTTGCAAAAAAAGAAGCTCTGGTCTCTCATTCGCCTCTGTCGTTCAGAGTTGATAGATGATTTACAGTATTTCTTCAGGCTGTGCAATTAACCATGATAGATTGACGTCTCTTTCTACAAATAATGCGCCAGGATTTCGGACTCTGTCATCACTTTCACTTCTGACAGCTTATTCAAAGCATCCTACAAACATCCTGAATGTGAGAGTAACATCCTGAACTTGAGAAAAAAGCAGGGCGGTCAACCTCTAGTACTCAAACCAGAAACAAACTATCTCTCATTGCAGAATCTTTTTCTACGTGTAGGGCGACATCCTCTCTGCCAGCATGGCGATGCTTGCTTCACGCATGCCGCAGGCAGCCTCATTCAGAGCTTCCTTCTAGCATATGGAGTCCGAGCAGGGATTGGAGTGCTTCTCCGGTCCTTTGTCTTACTTCGAAAACGGCCGGCAGAGGTGCTAGATCTCCAGGTGCGACTCAATCAACTCAAATCTGTGTGCCTGTCACACGTCTTACAGGTTCTTTGTTCCTAAACTTCAGCTGCGGTGTCAAATAGTTAGGATCTACGCGCTTCTGAGGACCAACTATCGCCGAGCGTTGCACACATGTTTCGGTTCGTGCTGGAGTCCTACTCAGGACCACATTCAGACACATGCGAATACGATATCTCAGTCTGCACGCAATTGTTGAGCCGGCTGTTCCCTTTATGATTGTCAGTAGTCCGTACACTCACAACTTCGTTCTCATGCAAACTTACACACTGACAGAAGTTGCCTCTTGCTTCTGATGTCCCTCCTGTTTCGTTTAAAGCGTTTGTTGAGGTCATGATGGAGAAGGTTGCACATAAAGGTTCCACTGTGGTTACTTTGACACGGCGCCACACCGAGAAGGGCTCATAACCGAACAATCTGACGACTTCCGATTTTCGGTCACGATCTGCAGCTGCTCCTATCCGAGAAGAACCTGGTGATCAGGGAGGAGGCATGTAGAATCGGCCTCCTCTTCGGCGGCTTCACTGGGACCTACCACTTCATGCGCTGTTTGCTCCGGCGGCTGACTAACCGCGAGTCTGACGCAAACAGGTGCGTTTAACAGTGCCATGCTCTGTCATAGCACAGCTTGGCAGAAACGAGAAGGTCTTACTTCTCCTTGAAGGCACATCACTGCTGTCGAGTGACCTGGTTCCTGCTTGATCACCTACTAATCTGGCAAGACAGCAGTTGTTCTGGTCTTACACTTTGGATGCCTTTCATTTGGAAACCGTTTGGAGTTTGACATGGATGTCTCTGGCTCGCAACGATGCCCTGGCTCCAGCGGCAGGCTCGTTGAAGTGGTTCTTTCAAGGTTACACACTCTGCATGCCTGAGATGGTATCTGCGTATTTTGTGCGGACTCAATCTGCCGCGACTCGCAGGACCTGAAATTCGACGTACGTCAGCAAAGTCCAGTGACAGCGCAGCGAGAGTCATGGTTTTGCTATAATATGTCTTCCGCCAACAGCTTCCGCAGGGATGCGTCAAGGGGAACCAAGACTTTTCGGGGGCCCTCTTCTTGTTGGCCAAATCAACGTTCTTTTCCAACGTGGTCAGGCAGATTGACGCACCAACAAACATGCTCAAACCGCCGCGTCGTCTGCAGCTTTATCGCTGGTTCTGTGGCCGGACTCTCGCTTTCGGCGATCGACAATCCCACGCGGCGACGCACCTTCGCGCTCTACCTCCTGGCGCGTGTCTTCCAGTGCTCGTACAATTTCGCGAAGTCGAAGGGCAAGTGGCACTTTTGGGGGAGCCACTGGCAACACGGGGACACGCTTCTCTTTGCGCTGGCCTCAGCACAGGTGAGTGTATTGTGTGTGTACTCTAGTATGCGGAGATGTTACATCATTGCCCGTTTTACACCTAGCCGATGATATAGGATTTTAATTGTATCATTGGCAGCACGGGGACACGCCGCTTTTTGTGCTGGCCTCGCAGGTGAGGGCTTTGTGCGTTCTCTTGTTGCGCGAAGATGCTTTCAAGGTGGCCGTTCTAATCGTAGTCATGCATGTAGGAAGAGAGTCCTTTTGCCGGAAGAGTCGAAGTAGCGTGCGTACTTTTGCTGTGCGGAAATGCTTCATCGATGCCGGTCATGATGACTTTGTTGCTTTAAGACAGGGAGCAGACCCTGTTCTGGCCAATCAGACTCATAAGAGCCGCCATCTTCCATGCCCAAAGACGGCTTCTGACTCCTCGTCGCGTCCGTTTTTGACTTCGCAGTTGACACTCCAGCTTTGTAAACATCACGTTGTATAGTTGTCCGATCCGGAAGTTAATCGCGTTGTTCCTCTCGCCTTGTCTTGTCAGTCATGTATGCATACATGTATGCAGACATTCGTTTCTGCTTCCGTCCCAAACGAACCGCGCGCGTTCTTCCTTTCAAGAGTGTCTGACGTCACTCCGCCGTCGCTCTGTTGCAGGTCATGTACGCGTACGTCATGCGGCCCGAGACCCTCAATAACTCGTACTGGGAGTTCATCGCACGAACGGGGCCGATTGCGAAGCCGGTCTTGAAAGCGGTCAAGAGCACCGTCCGAGGGGAGAGCGTAGATCTTGCAGAGTTGACGTCCTACATCCGGTATGCAATAGATTTTTTAAGTCTCGTCCTTCTATTATGTTACATTGTTCGCAGGTATATGCGGACTAAAGCTACGTTGAGAGAAGGAAGGGCCAATCACTCTAGTCTTGGGACTGCCTCTGCGAGTGCATTTGGAGAAGGTCGTTGTTTCTTCGTGAGTGTCTTCGGGTTTGTTCGGAGGCACGCTGCTGTTGCTTTCACGGTTTGTTCCTGCTTATGAAAGCTCAATGTGGATTGTGCGTCTGAGCGGCAAGGCAGATAGAGCCTGTCAAGAACGCACAATCCCGAAACTTGAATGCTCCTGCTGCGAGACTTGCGGGAGTCCTGTGTTGGGCGTCTAAGTTGTGAAAGAGCTTTTTAAAAAGGAGCTTTCAGCGTCGATTCTGCCATTCGAAGTGCACCGGTCGAAGGGTTCAGCTACAGACCGGGTGCGGCAAAACACTGTAATCAAAGTCAGATCTGGTATCCAGTATCACCCTGTCCAAGGATTGCAAAATACCCTAATCAAGCTTGGGCTGTGTAGACTGGTTATATCAAACCGTCTCCATCTCCTCCATTCTCAGAAAGGTCGCCCCGTCGCGGCTCCCGCTGACCATCGGGCGACAGCCCAAGATCATCCCGTGCTCCGTGTTGCACCCCGACACCTCCAATTGCTTCACGCACAACGGCAACGCGATGCGGTCCGTGTTCAAGAAGACGTTTCCGCTGTACATGTCGCTCACGTTTGTGCCCTTCGTCGTGCTCAACCTCCAAAAGGTGGGGCTGCAACGCTCGATTGCTCGATTCCAGAATGGACAACTTTCATTCTGGAAAAATGAAGTATTGAAGTATTGAAGAAGATGCTAAGTTCTTCAGCTAGCTTCTTCGTAGTCAGCTGAATGTAGCATCTTCTTCAGCTAACTACTGAAGTTGAGTTACGTCTTTCTGTATATAGTCTTCTCGGACCGTTCTTTGTGTAGTCTCTTTCCTAGGCTGCGTGGTAGATGTCGTCACGGTCGCTCATGCGATTCGCAACCTCCTGACCCACGTTTTCCTCGGCAAAGGCTTCCGTTAAAGACGACGGACAAAGTTGGTTTGCTGGTCCGGCCGAGTGATCCTGCCGTCAGGGTTTAGTGCAAAACCACAGCTTGTTTTTCACGCGCCTTCGCCAGTGTGCTGACGACGGAAGTGCATTTATGTAACGAGCCAAAAAAAGCTGAAATGGGTAACTTCTGTGCAGTTTACGCAAGCTCCGCTTCGAACGTTGTTTACCGCCACGCGCGGCGCAGTCCGGTCAACGGCGTTTCTGTCGGCGTTCGTCGGCATCTATCAGGTGAGGCTTTGAAAGTGATGTCCCAAGTGCCCGTCTTTCAGCTTTCAGAGCGGGGTCAACGAGAATTAGTAATTTGGGGACCGGGACCGGGGACGCTGTTGGAAGGGCTGACGTGGCGAGGATTAGGGTTTTGACCGGGGGCTTCAAGCTCAATGATTGGTTGGAAGAAGGCCTAGCCCAGGGTTTCGGCCCTAAACCCCGCCACGTCAGCCCTTCCAACAGCGTCCCCGGCCCCGGTCCCATAGTTACTGATTCTCCTTGACCCCGCTCTTGCAGTTTCAATCGGTCGCTGCACGAAGGGCAAAGTCGTAGAACGGTTATTAGGCCGTGGCTGTCACCTCACTTGCCCAGCTTTGGCTGTTGACAGACCAGATCCCGCATGGCGTCATCGGCTTGATGACGAGGTTGAATCTAAAAATCCACAATATGCTGTATCCAGAGCCGTCACAATGCAGCAGTCTTGTTTCCCTCAGTTGGGAATAAAGCTCCCCTGGTTTCCGTGAGATAGGTCTTTGTCAGCTTTCCAACTGCTGGTAACCTTTAGCGTGTGCTGACATCAAGCTTCCCATCTTAATGTCAAGTGCACTCAGTGCAAGATCGGCAACCGCCATGATGAAGCCCCGTTGCTGGATAGCGGGCGCGATTCAGGGCGCTCTTAGCCCCGCGATCTCGAGCATCTCTTTACCAGGACGCTGACGAACCCTCGGCCCCTTGATTCGTCATCTGTTCACGTCATCTTCCCCCAACCTCCGCAGGGCGTCATCTGCACGCAGCGCAAGTTTGCGAGCCGCGACCACAAGTCGGTCTACTGGGTCGCGGGCGCGTTCGCTGCGCTGTCCGTGCTGCTCGAGAAGAAGAACCGGCGCGCGGAGCTCGCGCTGTACGTGCTCCCGCGCGCCGCCGACTCGCTGTGGTACATCCTCGTGCACCGGCGGCTGCTTCCCAAGTTACCGCACGCTGAGGTAAGCGTGATGAAGCACTTTGATAACAATCATGTTGAGCAGGTCTTTATGATGACCCGGGCGCTTCTTGTTATATGATTTCAAAAAAAGACGTGTGTGGTGGAGTTTTTAGAGCGGGTTGGTTCGCTGTGGTACATCCTCGTGCACCGGCAGCTGCTCCCGGAGATCCGGCACGCCGGGGTGAGTGCGGCACGCTGACGTCGGCACGCCTGTTCTGACGTCACCAGATGATTTTGTTCCATAAGCGTGTTGAACGCGCTTGATGGACGGCAGCACATCCTCGTGGATTGGCGGCTGCTCCCGGAGATTCGGCATGTTGAGTTGAGCACGCGCTCATGATGACGTGGGCGGCGACATCAGGCTTGTAACGTTGTCCATTGTGTAGTCTTGAAGGGGCTTTGTTCGCAATGGTACATTTTCGTGCACGGCCGGCTGCTTCTGGCTTTCGCATAGTACGGACGACGGCGGCTGCTCCCTCTGCGCATGCTTTCAGCATTAACTGTACTCACGTCTCCTGGCACTCACAGTCTCCCTCGTCACAAGCTCCGAATTCGGGCCTTTTCCTTTGACGACTGCTTTCTTGCCGACAGGAACCAACCGCTGTTGCGTAACAAGCACCTCAATTTCAAGCGCGCTTTGTTTGTAGCAAACACCCCGACTTCAAGTTCTTTGATTGTAACAGACAGCCCGACTTTAATATCGTTACTGTAGCAAAACAAACCGACTTCAAGCGCGCTCTGTTTTCACCAAACACCCCGACTTGCAGCCCCGACTAAGTGCCGAAATTAGCGAAAGTTTGAGCATGATTGCCTTGGAATCGCATCTCGTCCTTCCTGCAGGTCGCCCTCTTCTGTCTGTGCATGGGCAGCCTCATGTTCTACCACGAGAACCAGCCCGAAACCATGACGCCCTTCCTCCGGGGCCTCATCACCCGCTTCCTCAACCGGACCGGAATCCCGGACATTCCGCTCTCCCCTCTTCCGCCCGCCGCTTCCGTCCACCGACGGCTAAACTACCTGGTGGGCGACCCAAGTCCCGAGTACCGGCCGCTCGATTTCCACGGGGAAGACGACCCGGCCAGCCCCGGGGGCTTTGGCAGCCGCATTGGCAGCCCGGGGCCGCACGGTCGGGTGGAAAAGGAGAAGCCCCGGTCGAGGGACTTGTACAGGGAAGGGGTGGAGCAAGTGGTGGAGAAGTTGCAGATGGAGGCCTTTCAAGGGCTCTCCTGAGACTGTCGCGAGTTGGACATTGTCAATCAGGAAACGGTTCTTTACCTTTAATGGAAGCTTTGGGGGTGCTAATGCGTGCTTGATACCAAATCGGAAGACACGTTCTTATGTAGTCCCGGAGGGTCTCCGGCTCCCTCCAGTCCGGCCCGGCCCAGGCAGTGAGTCGTGCAATGAGCTACACCGTTCGCACTTGCATCAGAAGCTAGCGGCAAGATTTCAATGGAAGGTCAGTATACATGCTGACCAGTCTATCTGAACCATGCCAAAACGTCATGGTTATACTAATATGTCAGATTCTCGACCATCACGGCAACATGATCGGCCATCTGCTGCCTAGCTTGGAGCAGGCTAGTAGGCTAAAAGCTACGTACATACGTAAAATATGCACATATGTACATGATTATATAAAAGAATCGCACGTGTGGCCGTGCAACGAGTGGCAGGCACATTACTAAACCATGGCAGCTTAAAATGAACGATGCATGCTGATCGAGTAGCTGCAGACCCGGCCGACGTACCCAAGGGGCCAATAGTTCTTCGGGCTGCGCTGAGTGACTATACTAATGCGGCAATATCAATGAAGCACCCGGCAATGATCGAAGGCTCATTGTCTGCAAAGGTCGCAGACCGTCCAATTGTACCCCAGGCGGCTACGCCTGGTAGTCGGAGTGCTCTAGCCTTCAAGTTCAATGTCGTTGGTGTCAGACACGCTTCAGGCTTGCCGTACGTTGTAATGCAGGCTGCCCGCTTGCTCGCATATCCAGCAACCAAGTAAGTGCACGGCAGACTCATTCAAACGTTCACTGCCCCTCAATCTTTGGCCCAATAGTTCGAAGCTAGTATTGAGTCTGCGCTGCAAAACTGGAAGCGCCAGCCCGATCGCCAATCTTATACCCACACATAAGTTTTTCAAGCCCAACAACGATACAAGCCAGCAAGTAATTACCTTGTACATGATCTCCTCCAAAGCGCATTGTTTGTTCTTAACAAATCAAATCAACGACCGTTGACGACCTTCCATCTATTTAGGCCACTTCAATCGGACAGTCTGGCCCGTTCGCTGACAAGGCTTCACTTCCATGGAGTACGATTCACTCCCATGGGTATGATCGGTCCGATAAACAACAATCCTGCATGGTTTCGCGCCCCGAGTGCTGCATCACTCAGCCGGCCGATTTCTTCTTCTTTGCGGCTGCCGCCAAATCGTCTATGTCCGCACTCTTCTTCTTTTTCTTCTTCGCGTCGGTGGCTTCCTCCGCGTTGTAAATGAGGACCTCCGTGAGCATCTGCCGGGTCGCCTCCTTGACACTGTCGTCCTCTTCCTCGTCCGGATTGGGCCGCCAGATGAAGAGAGACCTGCGTCGGGGAAAAGGGTAGTGTCAAGTTCCAAGAACCGGCTTACTGCGCCTTGATTTGTCATTCCGCTCCCAAGGAGGTTTACCAAAGAAGGAAGTTGGGGAACAGACGATCAACCTAGCGTAGGTGGGGCATGAAGAACCAGCTTGTACGAACACAGGCAAACTCCTGAGTGTGGTCAGAAACCTCGGTTCATTTGATTCGAGGTTCGAGACAAAGTCCCTCACTGTTGAAGGCTAAAAATACCCGATCTTCCACAAGGGAGAAAACAACAACTCATCTGGAAGCCATGACCTCCATTTGGAGACCCACATCCGCATCCGCAGACTCCCCTCACAAAATCCAAACCCAGATACCATTTTACTTTGAACCCCATCATCCTTCATCATCCTTCCAATACCCGAAGCCCTGGAACCCAGAGCTCAGAACCCGAATCCAGAACTTAGAACCCAGAACTCGGGAACTCGGAATCCTCAACACAGCACCCGCAATCCGCAAGCCAAAACCCAAACTCTATAAAGCTGGAACCTGAGAAGTAAACCCTTCTCAATAACCCACCTCGACGACCCGGTTGCCAGGACGTCCAACCGTGGGTGCAGCTTGTTGACCGGGCTGATCGTCGTAATGTTCGGGTCCCACACTTCGCCCGCTAACCCCCCGGTAGAAGCGTCGATGAAATCCACCGGGTGCAACGCGACGCCGTCAAAGTCGTGGCTGATGTAACGCCCAATGACGACCAGGTTCTCGGTGACGTCACGGGGATCCCACTCGGCTTTGAAGGGCGTAAGGTAGCGGTTGAAGTCGTGGCTGTGGACGATTTCGCGGTTGGGCTCCGACAGGTCACCATAGATGTAGTCCCAGACCCGTAACCGGTTGTCCTACAATCAATATACATATGACCTAGAGGAGTCGGACGAGCACGTCTTGTTGTGGCTGTGGACGAAATCCCAGTCAGGATCCTGACGATATGTAGTCCCAGACCCGTAACCTGTTGTCCCGCATTCGATTTCGAAATTATGGGAGAGTTTGAGACATGCACACAATAAGACTGTGTCAACAAGCTTACGAAGGCCGTGCTCTCATTTACAAAGCTGCTTGTAGAGAAACGGTTCTCGGATTCTGGAGGAAGTTGCAGCAAGGAGAACAAGCGACAAATATGCTCACAGAGTTCCACTCGGGATCCCAATATTGAAAGCCTTTCCAATCAGGTCCGCGTTCTGCTAATACGACCTTTCCCGGCCACACGCTTGATAAAGCCTGACGGTCTCGAAGTTCCTCTTATGTGCAATAGAACGAACGCAATTCAATCGAACACCGAACCGCAAGATTGCGTCTGGCTGGGAAAGTGCGAATCAACTGCACCTGACCACTTCTCCCACAATTCCCGAGAGGGAAGCCGAAACGCCAGTAAACAAAACCCTGCTTCCGCCGAATTCCAGCCAATCCTCACCTGACACGTGGTCAGAATCTTGCTGCCAGTGAAGGGCGAGAAGTAGGCGGCGTTGACGACCCGAGGGTGCTCCAACTCCGCGAGAGACGGGCTCATCTTTTCCCGCGCGTCCAACGTGCGCAGGTCGAAGATCTTGGCGGTGTGATCGTTACCTAGCAAAGGTTGAGAACCTCCGTTTGGGTAATCTAAGAAAGAAGCCTAGCGCGAAGCACGTTCAGGCTTTTGAGAACTGCGCAATCCTTAATATAAAAGGTGCGCACGTCAAGGTGCGCAGGTCGAAGACCTCGCCGTGCGATCGTTACGTGCAAAGTAGCAAGATTACTCTCGTATACACTGTGCGAAGGCAGTCTGATAACAATCACGTTGCTTATTACTGCAAGTGTGCCCTCTGCAAGCGTGCAGCGCGCACAGGTGGAAGATACAAACGATCACCAACCACACCATATCGGCGGTGTGATCGTTGCCTGCAGGGGGAACCGCACATTCAAAACCGTTGGGAACCAAGCCTGACGGCTGCCGTCACCACCGTCCATCTTGTCACCGTCGATAAAAAAAATCGGTTCAGTCTGTGCATGCGCCCGCTCGCGTCCTGATATTCCAGTATCAGCTATTCGTTAGGGACTCACCAGAC